CTAATCCTAACTCTTGTATATCCTTTTAATTATGATACTAGGTTCCACACGAGGGACCGATGTGTGATCTCTTATGGTCTGATCCTGATGACCGCTGTGGTTGGGGAATATCTCCACGTGGTGCTGGATATACTTTCGGACAGGATATTGCCACTCAGTTCAACCATACCAATGGGCTGACACTGATATCAAGAGCCCACCAGCTTGTGATGGAGGGATACAATTGGTGTCAGGTGCGTAAATTGGATGGATTGTTTTGCATTATTATTTTTCCAGTTCTTCAAAGGATGTTGTACATTATTCTTGCCGGTTCTTTTCTTGCATTTCTCTTTTTAGGACAAGAATGTGGTGACTGTTTTTAGTGCTCCAAATTATTGTTACCGGTGTGGGAATATGGCTGCAATCCTTGAGATCGGGGAGAATATGGATCAAAATTTTCTACAGTTTGACCCTGCACCACGGCAAATCGAGCCAGATACCACACGCAAGACTCCCGATTATTTTTTGTAAACGCTCTTTCTCCGTCGGCTGCTTGTAATTCCCCTTTTATCTGCCGTTTTACTGTGAATTTGACTTTAAAGGAGCACTCTTCGTTTAAGTTTTCACCATTCTTTTGTTTCGAGTTTGTGCTGATGCTGCTCTGTTATAATGGTGCTGAAGATTTGAATGATAAAGAAAAATGACAGAAGAATGCGTCAGAGGCCCTATTATCTTGTATATTTTTTAAGAACGAACTAGCGAGCGGCAATAACCTTTCCTGTGATCTGTAATTTTACCTTTCCAAAGTAGAGAGAGCTGATTTTTCGAACGCTTGTAGTATTTTATGTTTGAGATCCCAATGGCTAATGAAACTGCAGGAACTGGTGATTTATTTATCAAAGTTGTATATGTTTCTTGGCCCGGCCCTCTTCCACTTCAAATTTATGCTGGGAATCTTCCATCTTGGTCATTTGATTTGGATTGTTTTTAGTTTAATAACATTTCAGAGTGTAGATTTGAATTTCTGACCTTTTGATCAATAATGTCTTAACTAGTTGAACTATGTTTAAATTAGTGTCATTTGATTTGGACTTTGAGATTAATCTCGCATGTTTGTTTTTACATTGCATCTGGAGTATGGATGCTCTCAAAATACGTATTTTCTCGATGTTGGATTATAAGATATGGGAAAGGTATTTTTTTTTTTCAAATTTTCACTTTGTCAATCAGATATATGGTAAGAGAGATTATGTTTTAGTGATCTCTCAAATCAGGTGGATGTCGGTTAGCGGTAGACGAGATGTTTGTTTCATCTATTCGTTGGAATCAAAGAACGTGGCCAAACCCATAAGACCAATCATTCGACCAATGAAGTCTATTCTACAAAAGAAAAAAAATGATAAGTGATGATCAAGTCTTGTATTATCTATGATAACCCCACTTTTATAATTTCATGTTTGGATAGGATGTTATTGGGTGGGAATGTTGTCAGGATATCAAGGGTAAATTTGTAATCAGTTAGGAAAGTTGCGGGGGTTTGTTTGAGTAGGGAAAGGTGGAAAGAATAAGAATATGCATAGTTTAGGTTTGAGTAAGAATACTCAAGAAATGGGAGGGTCAAGTACCTCAAATTACTTGGGATTGTTCTATCCTTTACATTTCAATATATTTTTAGGTGTTCGGATTCTGTCACGTTCCTAAAAGTTATTGAAGGCTGGAATGCCATCCAGAGCGAAGCACTCGTAGAGGTCCGAGACACTGAATCTTGGTGAAATTTGGAGGTTGGAAGGAAGATCCAAAGACCCTAACTATTTTACCTTCAATTTTGAATAAGTTATAATGGGAAATCTAACCTACAAAAGTAAGTCGTTGCTAGATCTTCAACTTCAAATATTTTCTCACGTCAGTGTGCATTTATAGGCTTGGTTGGACTGCTCTAAATTTTTCTTAACTTTTGCATGCACCTTAACCTTTTTTGCTTTTGGTTTGGTTATATTCACCAAATCAATTGATTGATTGGATAGCTTCGTATTAAGTATAGCAAAAGGAAACTTTCCTATCCATCAATTGGTCATAATAGCAAAAGAACTCAACTTGAGCTAAGGCTAAACTCCACTGTCTACAAGTCTCGCTTCTTATACATCTTATCATATTGCCTATTGTCTTTGTTCACAACTTCAATTTGACTGATGTTTTGTGTTAAATTTGCGGCATAAGCCTTTTGAAAATAATTTGCTTATAAATTTCACATCTTTGTTTGCGAAGAAGTCCTCTCATGCCCTTTGGTTGGTACGAAAGACATTTGAAGTTGAATTCGACCTTTGATTGAATCTATTACGAGTGCATCAAGTCGCTAGTTATTGCGCTCATTCAGATTCCTGTTCCAAGAAAGCTGGTTTTGGATTTCTTAAGTAGAAAGTCACCGGTTGCGATCGTTCAAGTTCTTGCTCGAGAAAAGATGGTTGTTTATTTTCTAAGTGGAAAGTCATTGGTGGACAAACCAAGGCCAATGTCCTATATATCCAAAGTGCTAAATTTAGGAATTCCAGGTAGACATACAACCTTCCTGAAAAATAAATTAGCCATTACACTTGAGTCAGATGGAAAAAATGTGCCATCTTTAAAAACCTACCAATAATATCAAACACAAAATATCGACCTTATTTATGTTCTAGGCAAGACGAGCGCGAAATAAATAGACAAATCTTCCCAAATATGGTTTGGAATGAGTAACTAGGTATATAATCTTCTATAGTTGATTGAGCCACTATATCTTGCTTTTTTGAACTCCATGAGAAACACCCTGTGCCAAAAGTGAAACAATAGCCAGAGGTGCTCCTCATATCATCTAATGACCCATCCCAATCACTATCTAAGTAACCCTGCAACTCAAAATTTTCAATTTACTGAATTTGATCCCAAAAGATAGTGTGCCTTTCAGGTATCTCAAAACCCTATTTCCAGCAATCATATGATTCTTGCTTGTACAGTGAAGAAATCTAGATAAGACACTTACAGTGTACATGATGTCAGGCCTAGTAGATGTGAGATACATGAGACATCCAACTAGACTTCTATACACATTCTCGTCTACAGGTTCCTCTCCATCATCCTTTGCAACTTCTCCTTCTAAACCATCGGAGTGTTCACACTCTTACACTCCTCCATATTGAACCTCTTCAATATCTCTCTCATGTACTTCTTCTGATAGAGAAACACTTCATTCTGCCTTTGCTGAATCTCCATACCAAGAAAGTAATACATCAGACCTAGATCGGTCATCTCAAACACCTTCATCATTTCTTGCTTGAACACATCTATCTGATCACTTCTTGTCATTAGCAAGTCATCTACATAGAGAGATACAATAACAACAACAGTACTTGATTTCTTCACATAGAGTGTGGATTCACTCAGACTCTTCATGAAATCAAAGTTCAGCAAGTGATCATCCATCTTGCTATACCATGCCCCAGGAGCTTGCTTCAACCCATAGAGAGCCTTATTCAATAAATAAACCTTCTGCTCTTGTCCTGGTGTGATGAACTCGTCTGGTTACTCAACATAGATATCTTCTTCTAACACTCCATTTAGGAAGACTGACTTCACATCTAGCTGATACACCTTTCATCGATGCTGAGCTGGCACAACCAGTAACATCCTGATTGTGTTCATTCTTGCAATCGGTGCAAAAGTCTCAGAGAAATCAACCCCCCAGGCTTGTGCATATCATTTCACCACTAACCTGACCTTGAGCTTGTTCATATAGTCATATGGATTTAATTTAGTCTTGAAATTCATTTGACTCAAATCACCTTTCTATCAACAGGCTTCTCCACTAGCTCACATGTCTTATTCTTCTCTATCATTCTTAGCTCCTCATTTATTGCCTCCATCCACTTTTGATTTCTTTTAGCTTCTTCATATCCTACAGACTCCAACACAAGTACGCTACTTCTTTCATACACCTTAGTTAGTAGTCTAGTCTCTTTAACTGGTGCATCATAAACTAGTTCATCAGTATCCAGAGAGACTTCTTGTTGCTTCACCTCTGCTTCTTCTATCCAATCTCACTCCTCATCCTCCAAAAATTGAACGTCTCTACTAATCACCATCGTCTTTATCTGAGGTTGATAGATTTTGTAGGCTTTGGACACCATGTTATAGCCTACAAAGATTCCTAGTTTCGCCTTCTCACTCAACTTGTCTCTCTTTTCACCTGTGGAACATGAAAAAAACACAAACAACCGAACACCTTCAAATTTGTTAGTTTTGGTTTAGTATCAAACCAAGCTTCATAGGGTGTCTTCTTCTCCAAGACGTTTGTAGTTAGTTTATTCAATAGAAAGACTGTTGTATTTGCTGCTTCAGCCTAAAACTCCTTTGGCAAATTCTTTTCTGCAACAAGCATCTTGTCATCTTCATAATACACCTATTCTTCCTTTCACTAACTTCATTTTGCTAGGGAGAATATGGAGCAATGAGCTGATGCTCTATCCCAGCTTCTTCATAGAAGGAATTAAACCTTTCGGATGTATATTCAGCCCCATTATCGGTCCTCACCACCTGAATCTTACAGCCACTTTGATTCTCAACCCATCTTTTAAACTTTAAAACACCTCAGTTGCTTCAGACTTTTGCTTCATGAAATATATCAAACACATTCTGGTATAATCATCAATAAAGATAATGAAATACTGCTACCATTTAGTGAGAGAGTTGATTGAGGTCCACACAAGTCAGTATGGATGAGCTGCAGCTTCTCGGTTGCGTTCCAGATCGATTTCTTAAATCGCAATCTTGTTTGCTTCTCTGTTAAACAAGCTCTACAGTTTGTTTTCAGCTCCTCCATAATTGGTACTCCTATTTCCATCTCATTTTTCTACAGATACTGCAACCTTTCTAATGAAAATACCCCAACCTCCAGTATCATTCACTTAACACTTGAAAACTATCTGCTCCTCGAATGGATCTAGTGCAAAGCTCTTGTGCTGCATTTTTATTTTAAACAACTTATTCCCACTAGAATAAAAAATGAGGCACTTTTCTTCTTCGAATAACATTTTAAATCCTTTCTCTAGTTGACCAACACTTAATAAGTTTTGATCAATTTTAGGAACAAACAATACTTCAGTAATCAACTTGGTTCTAGCACAGCTCTCTATTGACACTCTGCGTTTTCCCTTCACTTTTAGATATTCACCATTCCCTATCTTCACCCTTGACTTGAATGACTTGTCAAGGTCCTTGAACAACTTTTTGTCACTTGTCATGTATTGGTACACCCACTATCAACCAACCAAACATCACATTGAGTGGCTAATGAGAAATAAGTAGCCACAAAGAGTTGATCTTCTTCTTGTTGTACTGCAGCATGTGCTCCTCCTTGTTATTGAGTCTTGCTTCCTTACAAACCTCTCAATGTGCCCCAATAAATGATACCTTCTACAATTCATATCTAACTTTCTCCAGTATCTGAAGTGTGCATGATTCTACTTCCCGCAGTGCTTGCATGCACTACCAGCATCATTTGCAGCGGATTATGAGCTACTGCTGCCACTCGCCTTCTTCCTTTTCCACTTCTTCTCTCTTCCACCTTCTTCTTGCTGCATTCTAGCTTTCAGTGCCCTCTTAATGCTTCCTTCTTGCCTCATCAACCTCCTCTGCTCATGTGCTTGTAAAGCACTAACTACTTCTATCACCTTGAGTTTGGAGAAGTCTTTAGTATTCTCTAAGGAACCAATGGTTGCTTTATATCTCTCAGGTACTGAAACAATCTTCTGAACCAATTAACTGTAAGATACATCAGTTCCTAATGTTCTTGCCTTGTTAGCAATCTTGATCAACTTGTTTGCGTACTCTTTAATGGACTCAGAATCCTTCATCTGCATTCTCTCGAATTCCCTCACCAAGTTCAACACCTTCATGCCTTTAATCATCTCATCACCTTCATACTCACTTTTGAGGAACTCCCAGATCTCCTTTGCTGACTTCAAAGCCATAATATGGCGAGAGACACAG